AACGGAACATGAAATGGAGGGCCTGAGCACGTAGTTGGCGCCTATGAATGCGTCGTCAATGAATATTTGGTCTGAGTTGACGAAGGAAAAATGAAATCTAGCGAGAAAAAAACGCCCATTAGGAGCATGACAAATTTATTGAAGTTTACGCGGGGGTAATCGCTACTACGCACAAGGCGAATATGGGATGCTTGAACTCACTTTGGGATGCCACGAGTAAAGGCGTAGTTCAGGAACAGAAACGACAGGCGACAAGATAACCGGACATGGCCATAACCAGTGGGAGAAATATGTGAAAAATATTTGCACTAGAGTTGTGAGGGTTGCATCAACCTTGCGTTTTGAAGGCTTATGTGAGTCTCCGCTATCTAGGGATCGCGAAGGGACACCGGACTGTAGTTCCACCAGTTCAGCTAATATAATAGTCTGATCCAGGAGGCCCAAATATGAATCCGAAAGTGACGTCTAGAAGGCAAGCGTTATAGTCATTGTAATAAAGTAGTGCGTAATGCATACGCAAAACACGGTAACAGGTGATTGAGCACTAAAAAAGGAAGATAGGTGGGTTATTTCAAACCAGACTTCGCTAACACAAGTATATCCTTAGCCGGAAGGAAAGCCCAAATGCAGAGCATTCCTTAAGTAATGACTGCACGTTAAATAGTTGACATTCCATATTTAGACAGTATTATGAATGCTTTCGCAGGCTCACCTTCGGTAGTTATAGTCCCAGTGGCAAAATTCTCTACAATCAGGTATCTTTATATAGCAGTTAAAAGTTAAACAATCTCCGTACAAATTTTCATTTCAGACTACATTTTCAGGTATGAAAACGTGAGGATTCAGGAGCAGCAAAATAAATACAGAAAATGTACAAGGGTGCACCTCACTTCCAATAGGTTGCTGGAATGTTATCCATCGGGCGCGCTTCTAATCTATTTATCCTGAATTACGTGAATAATGCATGGGCCAGTTTTCAAAGTGACAAGTAACATGGCTCCAACAGCACTGAGTAAAAGTACACCGACCTCTGCCTTAACTTGAAGTTACTCGCAGTAAAGAGTAGGTTGGGACCTACTTGTACATTATAGCAGCATATGGAAGATACAAAAAAATCAAAGGAAACGAGAGCTGATAAGACGAACACTTACTTTAAAGCCCGTGTGAATGCAAATGTAAGCGCACAACACAGCCCAAGCAACACTGGCCGGAAAGCCGTATACATAATCTTTTATGAGTCTTCTCGATGCCCATGTTTTTACCACTTTAAGGAGGTCAGTGAATAAAGAGAAATCCGGGACTAGGTCGTGGAATTTTTGTGCCAAATGAAGTCCGGAAAGTCCATGCACAGAATACTGATCGACATTGTTGTAGAAAACCTCCGGCTTCTCATTGAACGTTAGTGGACAGGGGACGTACGGCAAGTTTAGACGGCTAAGTATCAAGTCGACCTGAAAAAAGAAGTAGGTTCAACAAAGGGTGGACACAGTTTTATGTCTAACGAGGTTCCAGAGGATGAATAAAACGTTTGACATCCAAACAGGCTTAACTGCACTATTGAGAACCAAAATAGGCGATGGACAACCATGCCACAACTGCCTGAAAACGGAGGTAAGCAATTATGCCAAAAATTTCATTAAAAACTACAAATGGTGACGACCAGTAATGAAAAAGAATGTTGTGCGAAAGGTTCAGGAAGTTTTAAAAAATCCTATAATCTTTTGACGTTTGCGGAATAAATAAAACAAAAAATAAAAGCGTTGTCACATTTTCTATAGGACGCTTTGTTAGGGAAACACGCCCCTGCCAAAGTTTAGTCGCGTCTGGTTTTAAAAAGCAGACGGATCCCCTACATTTAGGTTTTTCAAGACTTTCAAGGGGAGAATGCGAACGATATAAGAGACCATAAAGACTTTAACTTAGCCGAAAATTCGACTTTAAGCTTGCGCGATTGTGATCGCTAACGCAAAGTTATCAATGACTTTTTCCTAAAACGAAACGGACAGCAAGAAGTGTACATTCACAATGATGTAAATTAATTTAAATAAGTTGCAAAAGTAAATGCGGATATAAAGCTCGAGCAACTGCAAATTATAACTAATTATTTCAAGCATTCACTGTAAATTTAAATAACAAAGAATCTTCAAATGGTAATTACTTGAGAAAATGTAGATATAAACTTACACAAGTCTCCTCGACCTTCATTTTTATCAGTGGAACAAATGCATAAGGAATAGGCAGTATTTCCTGTATGCTTTGGTGTTTCTTCAATACATTAACTAATGATCCAAAGAAGTCCTCGCGATGGATAAAGTTCGGGGTCACTAACACGGCATCAATATCACTATTCTTAAAGCTAGCTCCTAGACTCGTTGAACCCTGAACAAGAACAGAGCTCGGTTCACAAGGAATGGTATCAGCACAGAAGATGCCCTGAAGATAAAACGTCTAATGTATTCCTACTCGTTTTAGACCAAGGTCAACCACCCATTCCTTAGCAATTTTATTAAGCATTTGGACATGCATGACTCTAAACAATGTAACACAAATGAACTACAAACTTTCTGAGCCTGGATTCGTTGGATTCAATCACATCTATTTCCTTTAAGTACCCCACTAGTTTCTCGTCCATTATATCGCGTGAGCTTCTAGGGCTAACGGGCTAACAATAATCACCGCGAAGGTCGCAGTTAGGATTCAACGGTCAAAGTCACAGAGACGACAAGTCTTACTCTATTACTTGTTTCTGGTGTTTTCAGAATATCAGTAGACGCTTTTAAAGGCATAAATAATAGGACAACATTTAAGCAAAGCGGCATACCTTTAAATAAACATTTAGGGGTGGCTGGGAATACAAACTGGCGTCCTCACCAGCAGATACAATGAAGCAAGGAAGGATGATAAATGTGGACGACAGCAAAAAAGTGAGTGGTGCATATAAACCAAGTCTGTCAGCCTCCAACTGACTAATTTAAGAGCTGATAGTGTTTAATTCGATAGTGTGTGGCGTTTGAGGATGCGTCTTAGGTCTCGATTGATTTGGACGAACTGACATCCTGATCAAAGACTTACAACTAGAATATTATTTTGAGGATTTACGTAGCGTGAAGGCCTCTGAAATATTTTTTCACATTTAATTTGTTTATCTGAATTGCAATGCACGCTGTGTTAGATTTACTACTAAATAAACACAACAGCCGACTTCGACTTTGGGCAAAGTATCTTCCGTTTTTGCTGTTGTATGTTGTCGATTTCTCATTAATTGAACTCGTCTGCCTCAGCTGCATCTAGCCAATACTGGCCATCAATTCGCATCTCTCAGCCACACTT